CCTGTGCTCACCCAGCCAGCCCTGATGGCTTCCATCGCTCGGGCTGAGCTGAGCTTGGAGAGAACATTGGGAAGAACGGTTCAACGCAGCCCAGAGGAAAAAAAAAGTCAGTTCTTGGCTTTGCCCTTTTTTGCAGGAAGCCGCCCGGTTGCTTCGAGGTATTTGTTAATTATTTCTTCTTGAGTGCTGGGCGAACAGGGTTGGTATTTACTGTATTCCATTGTGTATTCACCCTTTCCCTGGGGAGTTGGAAAAAGAAGAGTCAAAGTGAAGATGTGAAACGTGGCATCTTATTTAGCAGCGGGCCACACCCTCACCTCTGAAATAGAATCAATTGTACTGACACTGTGCGCTGAGGCACACAGATCAGAAATGCAAAGAGACACAAATGGCATCTGAATATTGTTTCTTTGACACAAGATTGCCTGTGGTTCCCATCTCATCAGTGTAAGATGAGGAAAAAAACCCCAAAACAACTAAAAATGCTGCTTAAAAATGATTGTGGTATTAGTAACAACCCCTTCGAGCTCTCACAGAATAGCAGCACTCACGTGTCATGAGATAAATTGTACAGAGCACACAGACTCACCCGATTCCAATGGGTTCAGTGAGTGTGTAACTACAGGTGTCACTAAAAAAGAACATCCTGATAACGTCAGCACCGCTGTCAAAATCCTCCCCACTCACAGACATTTGTGACTGAAGGAGTATCCCTCAACTCTTCCAGCCTGTGAATTTAACACCATCACTCACACCTCTCACTTTGTATCACTTACGACTCTCAATCTCTTCCCCCCTCAAAGTATTTTTGGCCAGAAATGTCACAGTTAACGATAACTATGTTAATGAAAAAGCAGTTAAAGTAACAGGAAAAACTCCAAGGTTATTTTCTTACCCTGCATTTGTTTTGATTTTTAGGGTTTTTACTGCTGCATGTGCTATGGGTGTGAGGATGCAATTAGCACACTTGATGAGTACTTACCTCTGTGCAAGACCTCAGCTCGGTGGCATATCCAAACATGTCATTCAGTGGCACCTAAAATCCAAGCACATCATTCTTGTAAAAACAAGGTGTTTTTCCATCAGCTTCGGGTTATCATGCAATTGATCTCAATTACGATATAAAGAGTCAGTAAAATCTGGTGCTCTCTGTAAATAGGACTGATTGAATCATCTATTTTTGTTAAAGTACCTCTTATGTCAACTAATTTATATTCACAGTGTGTTTTCATCAGGAAACCCCCAAAATCTTAGAGTCTGAATGCACCAGATACTGGAATATCCCAAATTCAGCCATCTGCATCACCCAGCAAGAGATTGTAACGTTGGAAATATCTCAGGACTGCAGCTCTAAACACCATGTACGAGGCAGGAGGGATGCAGTGTGTAGTCTGTCATTAGCTAAGGTTCTGCTGAGATGATTTACCCTACCACCATCTAACGTGAGAACAAAAATGAGTTTTCAGAAGGGACATAAAAGCAAGAACACTGAAGTCAAGTCATCTGCATTTATCTGCAATTATTCCAGTTAATGCAGGTAACAGCTGAAGGATGACAGCTGACAAAACATCTTCCCCCTGAACTCTGCACCCATATTGCTGCACAGGTTTCTTTCACTCTCAGGCTGCACCACCAGCC